GGTAGAGGAGAAATTTTTTTTTATCCCAAAATCATGATTTCCAAAAATATGGTGGAAAGATGAGTTTTCTGGGAATGTTACCAAAAAGTTGTTTGATAGACTAAAACGTTCTCGGGAATATTAGGTTTAGTTATATTAAATTTTTCTTTGCCATAGAAATCCGAAAAATACCACCTCTTGAATGGTATTCCTGGATAGTATTTTCAAAAAAATTTACACATAAAACAAAATCCCGAAAAAATCAGATTTCCGAGAACATTTAAAAATCTTGTACCAAACGTGAATAAATATACACTTTCAGTTTTCCGGAAATCCTAAAAAAAACATTGTAACAAACGCACCCTACTATTTTAGGTTGAAATTAATTTAAAAAAGTTGATCATCCAAATCCTAAGAATAAAAATATAACTATTTATGTAGAGATTTTAAGTATGGCTACAATAAGAATAAAGATGCAAAATTGGTAGAGACAGAAAACTGAGCAGCGGAGCAGCCTGAAGTGGTCATTCATTCACGGGGAGATGGACGAGATTCCTAGACCCGGCCAGTATAGCTGCTACACTGCATTTGTAATAATGAATACAATGTAAAGTTGTACACATTAGTTATACATAAGCTATTATATGTATCATAGGAAACTACATAACATACGAATCTATTTATGTTTTCAAACTTCTTAGTAACCACTAGCCAGTGATTCATAATAATTATTTAATGAAAACTACAATAATTCATATATTAATAATTTTAAAAAATTATTATTATGCTTCTTTTTTAACTACTTAATAAATAATGAAACAAGACTAATTAATATTTTTTTTATATACTTATAGGGTTTTATAATTCTCATTTAACATGAGAATTCAAATTTTCCTACACACTCTTCGATTTTCGTGCTGACATGGGTCCTACATTTAATTTTTTCTAACACATGGGTCCGACATGATTTTTGTCTCTACAACATAAGATTTTTATTCTCATTCAACATGAGAATTATAAAACCCTTACTTATAATCTCTTATAATTATTATCGTAATTGTTGGATCAAAATTAAGTTAATAATTATAAAATAACATCAAATGAAAGTTTTTAACTTAATTTTAATCCATCTATAATAAAAGTAATTATAAGAGATATATAAAATAAAAATTAATGTGTCTCATATTGTAGAAGATAAAATTATTTTTTATACACACATAAAAATATGTGAGTCCTTATCGGGCCATGTGAAGATAAGAGAGAGAACAAAAATATAAACCCTGCATATTTAATTTTATGTGTGTGTAAAAGATAACATTATCTCGTATAATATGAAAAACATTAATCCCATCAAAAAGTTATAATATAATACTCTCGCTTCATAAAATCTATTATACCTATTAAAGTTAGGGTAATACTTTTTTTATTTTACATAAGATAAAGATTACTTCCAGCTTAAAGAATAAATGAGGAAAGAGAAAAAAGAATAAAGTGAGAAAAAAAACTTGCAATGAAACCTATATTTGAATGTGTATAGGAACGTTTTGGTGTCTCGTATAAAAAGAAAGACATTAATCCCTTAAAATTATTTGATATTTATTATAGGGTAAACAACTTCTTCTTATAAAGGAGAAGTTTTTTTGTTGCAGCACTTACATCTCACAAACATTGAAATGTGTGATAATTTTTTTGTTTTGTTTTTTTCAAAACAACCCATGGACCTCACCAAAAATCTCTTTCAGCTGCAAAAAAACAACTTCTCCCGTGAAAGGAGAAGTTGTTTTCCCTTTATTATATATTAGGGATAAATAAATCTCATGTTGTAGGAATAGTGATCTTCCATGTTAGTGAGAGCTTGATTTTCGTGTTAATATTTTCTTTTATTTTCTTTTTGTGGGAGAGGGTTATTGAGCATTGCTTGAGGAGAGATACCAAGGTTTCTGTAAATCAATTTGGATTTATGCCAGGAAGATGTACCATGGAAGCCATTTTCTTGATGCGACAACTAATGTAAAGATACCGAGAAAAGAAGAAGGACTTATGGTGTTCATAGACCTTGAGAAAGCATACGATAGGATTCCAAGGAAAGTTTTATGGTGGGTTCTGGAGAAGAAAAAGGTTCCATTAAAGTATGTAAAGGCAATTAAGGATATGTATGATGGGGCTACTACATGTGTAAAAGCTTGTAACGGATCATCAAGTTATTTTCCTATCACGGTAGGTGTACACCAAGGGTCGGCTCTAAGTCCTTACCTCTTTGCCTTAGTTATGGATGAACTAACAAAAGATAATCAAGAGGAAGTGCCATGGTGTATGCTTTTTGCAGACGATATTGTGCTTATTGATGAGAGCAAGGAGGGTGTTAATAAAAAACTTGAACTGTGGAGAAGCACATTGGAATCCAAAGGATTCACATTAAGTCGAAGCAAGACTGAGTATCTGAAGTGTGAGTTTTCTCTGGTACGAGATGGGGACCAAGAGCCCGTGCATCTAAATGGTCAAGAGGTACCCAAAAAAGATGTTTTTAAATACTTGGGCTCCATTTTACAAAAAGGTGGAGAGATTAATTGATGAGGATGTAAATCACAGAATCAGAGCAGGTGGATGAAATGGCGCAGTGCATCTGCATTTTTGTGTGACCGCAAAATCCACCTGAAGTTAAAAGGAAAATTCTATAAAACGGTAGTAAGACCGGCAATGCTATATGGAGCGGAATGTTGGCCAGCACATAGACAACATGAGCATAAGATATGAGTAACAGAGATGAGGATGTTAAGGTGGATGTGTGGTTACACAAGGATGGATAAGATAAGAAATGAAGATATTCGACGAAAGGTCGGAGTAGTACCGGTAGCCGAGAAGATGAGAGAACATAGATTGAGGTGGTTTGGGCACGTGATGAGAAGACCCATGGATGCTCCTGTAAGAACAGAAGTTTGTTACCAAGAGCTAAACACAAAAAAGGCAGAGGTAGGCCGAAGCTTACTTAGGGGAAGGTAGTAAAACAAGATTTAATGGAGTGAGATATAGATTGGCGGACAGTAAGTCTTAGAACGGAATGGAGAAAAGCTATAAGTATGGTGAAGGGTTAGACCCGCTGTTATTCCTATGTTCCAGATGGTCCCTTTTTAGTCCTTTTCCCCTTCATTTCTCCCACTTCTTCTTGTCCCTTTCTTCTTTTATTTTTATTTTTATTTATATATACATATATTTTTATTTTTATTTTATTTTTTTTTCAACCGTTTTGTATCTTTCATGTGGATTCATCTACCACCGACCCCAATTAATTTGGGATAAAAGTGTTGTTGATGTTGATTTAAACTAGTGGACCCACTTAATTGTGTGTGTAGGAGAAAAACTGCTCTCATGTTGCATGAGAAAATGCAACCCCTGTATATTAACTACATATAATAAGATTTTAAATATTACTTTTATATATGCATGCAGTAGAAAATTAATTAAGGTATCCTCTCTGGAAGAAAAACAAAAAAATTAAGAGAGTATAAATCGTGGGGGGACAATGGGAAGCGACAATATGTACGTAACCTGATGGAGCTACTTTCACTATGGTATTTTACGGGAAGTGATGCTACTCTAGGCCTTTATAATGGATGAGGGATATATAGAAACCTATGGCGCTAGAAATACAGGGATAAAGAGGAAGAGACATTCGGACTGTCCCACAAACTTTGCCAGCTTTATTTACTTAGCTGCGGACAACCCTTTTTTTCTTAGGTAAATAATATCTGATTAGATGCTAGGATAAGGATTAGGTAATGAGAGAGATGAGAGAGAGAAGCACCATCACGTTCAGTTCAACACAATAATAAAGTATTTTAGTTTCTCAATTGCGGAAAAAACAAAAATAGTAATACTGGTAGTATAACACAATTTTTATAATTTTTTTTAAAATTTTTTGAAGCTAAACAACATTATTAACCAGTTTAAACAAAAAAACCAAGGTGGATGAAATTTTCTTCACTATTGGGCATTGGGTGGTTTAGGTCAGTGGTAATGGTTTTTTTCTTTTTTTTTGGTTGGGGGCAAGAAGAGGACAAACTGGTGAGAATATTAAATGAATGGAGGGATTGTCATCAAAGAATAGAGTGAGAAATAGAAAGAGGTTTGAAGTTTGATTCCGTGCCTCATAAACCTATCTATATCTTCCTTCATCCATGGTCATGGTCATGGTCAGTAGTAGGTAACTTGTTTTCTTTCTCTTTCTCGATTTGATCGTTCCTCACTTATCTCTCCTAAACAAAACCTGGTCTCTCTCTTCCTCTCTCTTTCTACTGCTTTTGTATGGCAGTAATGGCAGGGTATCAGTGGCAGTGCTGGAAAAGAGAGGGAGAGTTTTCATTGGGAAGGTAAAAGCCTTTGTTTGCAGCAGTGCCTTACACGAACCCTCGCCCTCTCTTCTTCGGTAACGTTTATCGTTTCCTCTTTGTATCCCGCGTGCGTTGTGCTGCTTCTTCTCCCTCCATTTCTCACTCCTCATTCTCACCACAAGTGCAACAACCGTGTAAGCACTAGTAGCCATATATATATACATATATACACATGGAGAGAGAGAGAGAGAGAGAGAGAGAGAGAGTGTAATTCATTATAGCCTGCGTGAGTTAATGCTCAAATGGGCGGAAAGAAAGATTTAACACCCATTTTCCAAAGGAAATCTGTGCAGGCTTTGCCAGATAAAGCCAAGTGGGAAAACCTCTATTGCTTCATATAACTGACGGCAATAACTATAGCCACCACTCTAACTATTTAAGGATTTTCTGTAAAAAGTCTGATACTTTTACCATAAAACCCGGGAGAGCCCTGAAAGACAAACATCTTCGGAGGAAGCAGATCTCATAAAAGAGAGACACAGAGAGAGAGAGAGAGAGAGAGAATAAGAGAAGGGTCTTTTGTTATAAGGCCTAGTGAACTGTGTAGTGTGTTGAGCTATTGAGCTTATAGGCAAAAAGGATAAGAGTATAAGACTCTGTGAATGTATGTAGACAAAGTGAGTGAGAAAAGAAATGGAGGGTAATTCAAATGGCACTTCTTATCTTATGGCTTTTGGAGAAAACAGTGGTGGGCTATGTCCAATGATGATGACGCCTTTAGTGACTTCTCATCATGGCAGTCATCATCCAACAAATCCTAATCTTAATAATAATATTAATAATAATGCAAACACAAACTGTCTCTTCCTTCCTATGCCTTCCACTAGTAACCACGACCTAAACTGTAATAATAGTGGAAGCCCTTCTATCATGCCTGAGAATAACCACAACAACACCATCACCACCAACAACAACAACACTGGGTTAGGGTATTATTTCATGGAGAGCGACCACCACAACAACACTAACACTGGAAGCTCCTCCTCCTCTTCATCTTCTGCTGCCAAGGCCAAGATCATGGCCCATCCTCACTATCACCGTCTCTTGGCAGCCTACATCAATTGTCAAAAGGTTTGAAAGAAGCAAAAGCTTAATTTTGACTCAACTTAGACAGATTTAGACTCAACAGTGATTGAAAATGATGCTTAAGTTTTTTCCCAGATACTTCCTTTCTTTGGCAATTTAGGATCTGAGTTGTGTAGCATTTGTACTGTAAACTATGGAGTTGTTTTATCAATACTATCTATACTGACAAATTATGTTCCATCGTAAGAAAAAGAGTGGGCGAAGAAGTCAAAACCCTTTAAAGCAGAAATGATAAAGACAGTTCTTTCAATCTTGTTTTTGACCAGTTTGCTAGCTTCATGGCAATCATCATGTTTTTTCAAATAATACTTAGTTTGTGTGCACTTAGCAGGTTGGAGCACCACCTGAAGTGGTGGCAAGGTTAGAAGAAGCATGTGCATCTGCAGTGAGAATGGCAGGAAATTCTGCTGGATCAGCCTGCATAGGTGAAGATCCTGCTCTGGATCAGTTCATGGAAGCTTACTGTGAGATGCTGACCAAGTACGAACAAGAGCTCTCCAAACCCTTAAAGGAAGCCATGCTCTTCCTTCAAAGGATCGAGTGCCAGTTCAAAAATCTTACTATTTCTTCTTCGGACTTTGGTGATGATCTCTCTCTCTCTCCCTCCCTCCCTCCTTTTCTCTCTTAACTATCTTCTGATAATAGTCTTCAGATTTTAAATTATAATTTATTAATCTTCATTACTTGTTATTTGATGTTAGGTTAATTGATTAGCCATGCATGTCTATGCTTCCAGGAAGTAGGTTTTGTTAGGATTGAGAGCACTTGGTTCTTAAATTAAAGTTGATGAAGCACCGCTTTTTCTTTTCAACTTTAAAATCTTTACTAGTGTTTGGTTTGTATTTTCTTTCTGGTTCTGCTAGCCAGTCTTTTCTTTGCATAATAGATTTTCAAAACGTATATGGTGTTGTCGTACAGATATCTGTGATTCTCTTCTCGGTGTAAGTGCGTTGAATGAACTGTATTGGTATCTTGTTAATTCTTCATTTCGTGTATGCCTAAATATTGACATATTTTCAGCTGTTTTTATTTTTTATTTTTTGGGAAATATAAGACTTTAAGGCACATAGCTTTTCTATGTATTTCCCCATTTGATGTGAACTGCAACGTTCAGGTTTTGCTTCCTTAATTTAATTATTATAGATTCCACATGAAATGAACCCAAAGATCGGGAACACCGAACACCCGAAGCTGGTCTGTGAATTTAGTTTTTTGTAAATAATCTAGAGATTAGGGTTTCTTCTGCACTGGTGCTCAGGAGTGGTAATTGCGAGGTTGCCAGTAGTTGGCTAGATAAAAGAGTGGCTGAAAATAACTGAATTCCTTTTGGGGTAAGTGCAGGAATTTTTGAGGAAATGAACAAGTGTGCCTTTAAGAACTAAGAAACATTTAATTTTTTACATGAAATTTGTGGATGAGCAAATTTCTCATTGCCTTTTCCCAAACTTCTTCTGCATTCTTCTCTTCACTGTGATATGTGAAATCTAATAAATGAACTTGCAAAATCATTTGGTTATCACTTTATTGAACACTTTATAATTGTTAAGAGATATGAAATCAATCATGTATTTTCGCTTAACAGGTTGAAGGGTTTTTTCATGAGGGGATGTGTTACATACAACATCATTCATTAGTCGTTACCTTATAGATCCCCGACTAAATATAATAAAAAGTTGAATTCTTGCACTCTAATATCCATGCTTCTAGCCTAAAGAGCTTTCGTTGGAGTTTCTGAGAGTCTAAGTTATTTGGATAGTCAGTCCTTGACAGTATTGATTAATTCGAAGTTTTTTAGTTCTGTTGTCTGTTATCCTATTTGTTTCCTCAAGGTCCCATGTACGTGCACTCTCTGTAGTTAGAATACTTGTGTAATTTGCATAATTTCAAAACTTGTTAAAGTATGCGAATTGTCGTTATTCTGCATATGTTTGTGTCTTCAGGTGCTGATGCATATTTTCATACTTGCTATAATTATGTCCATGATGTTATGGAACTGATTTATTTGCGTGGGCAATTGATATACACTGTCATATAGAATATGGTAATTGTTGAATGAAATCTACAATTGAATGTGACAACCATCAATATGGTCAAACTTTGCTGCTATAGTGTTAATGATTATGATGAAAATCAGTATAAGCATTATCACGTATTGCCCTGAATGTGAACATGACCAAGCTTTTAGTGAGTCACTGTTCTCAAGATTCCAACTGTGTATGGGCCAAAAGAAGTAGTACCCCTCCACTTATTATTGTAATGTTTACAAGATTCTATTTTGGGAGAGAAACCAACTTAATGGTGCCAGGTTTTACGTCATTGGTCCCCTAACCATTTTTGTAGTTCATCATAATAAGTTGGTGTTTCAATTGTGGAAGTCCCCTTGTGTCTATTGTATAATGGGCTGTCTTGCCCCTCAAATTCGTCTAAACTTGTGTTTCTCAGTAAAACAGATTGTTCAGGATGGAGGGTATCTCCCTTAGTATTTCCTTATCTAGTTTTTTTTTTATGTATTATGCATGTGTATTCAATGGAATTAAATCACTTTTATCCACATTGTTAGTGGTAATTTCTGCATAGAGAAAAGCTTCCTTAGGCTTTACTAGGGTCTATGTCTATTGATAAATTAAGTAGTCCTTCATAAGTTATTTCGGTGAAGTAGACATTTATATGTATAGATTATACTTTTCTTATCTAACTTTGTCGGGTCTGAAGAAAAAAAGGTGTCGTCTACTATCGTCAGGGTTTATAAGATGCATGGAGCCTTGCGAATAAGGTTCAATGGACAATGGGTTCCCTGCTTTTTATCCTATGCAGCATTTTGAGTGCTAACTTTCAATGTGGTGAATTTATTATTCCCTAATGATTGCAAGTAGTACTCGTAGTTATCCATTAATTAATCGTTCACCCTGGTACTATCCAAATTTGTCTTAAAACAATAATGTAGTAGCTTGGTAATCGAAATTTGAGTGCTAACTTGCTAGTTTATAGTTGAAATAGTACTGATACTAATGGTTTGAAATGGAAAGCCACAACATTCATTCGCCTAATGTATTTATTTGAGTGCTAACTTATGCTCGCATCTGAACTTCAGTGTTTATGTTTGCTTTTCTTTTATTGATTTAAGAGTTGACTAGATTGTACTTTACTAGTAGGTCGTTTAAATTTTTTTTGATTAGCTATTAGAGTTGCATTTTTGAGGAAGGAAAAAGAGTGATATATATAATTTTACTTATACCATTAGACAAATGTTAAATATATATCATTGCAACAGATTCAATTCAAAAGTTTTAAGTTTGTAAGTGATGTCTATATTATTGTTTTTTATAATATAGACTTCTTTAACAATGATTATTATTAATTATTAAAATTGAATGGATTCATGTGAGGATCAGCTTGTAATGAGGCTACTGATAGGAATGGATCATCTGAAGAAGATGTTGATATACACAACATGGTAGATCCCCAGGCAGAGGACAGGGAATTAAAGGGTCAGCTTTTGCGCAAGTACAGTGGATACTTGGGTAGTTTGAAGCAGGAATTCATGAAGAAGAGGAAGAAAGGAAAGCTACCTAAAGAAGCAAGGCAACAATTACTTGAATGGTGGAGCAGACATTACAAATGGCCTTACCCATCTGTATGTTGCATATATGTTCTTAAATATATATGGACTGATTGCTTTTATAATAATAATAATAATAAAAATAAATACTATTTATAATAAGAACAATACTATTTTAGCTTTTAAATAAAAATAATTTTTATAGTTTACGTGATATACTTTTGTTCAATAACAGGAATCACAGAAGCTGGCTCTTGCAGAGTCAACAGGTCTGGATCAGAAGCAAATTAACAACTGGTTTATTAATCAAAGGAAACGGCACTGGAAGCCTTCAGAGGACATGCAGTTTGTGGTGATGGATCCTAGCCCTCAACACTATTACATGGATAATGTTCTGAGCAATTCCTTTCCCATGGATCTCTCCAACCCCATGATCTAGAAATTATTTGGGTGCTTGTGTTTATGTCACACAATGTAAGGCAATCATAAGCTCGTGATTTCACTTACAAGTTGAACTTCATAATTATCTTTATTAATATGCGTGTAGAGAATTAGCGTTCTTATTAATCCTATATTGATATACAATTGTACGCAGGTGTACACTGCTAGATTTTAGATTGTTCTTGTGTGGATCATCTAGTAGTGGAAAGGAAAATTTGGAAGATAATATTATGGATTATGAATAAATAAAATTCCAAAATCTTCGAGCTATTCATAGTCATTACTTTTAGGTAGTGTTTGGTTGGGGAGTTTTCAAAATTTCCCCAGCAAAGTGTACGTGGGTTTGTCATTTGCCCATGTTTGGTTGAAGGATTCATGAAATTTACCCATCAAATACTATTGTCTAGCAATTGAGAAATGCATGTAAAAAAGGTAATAATGCCCTGTTCATGAAGTCCTCTTCCAAAGTGGTATTTTTTATGAAACCTGGATAAATGGAAAAAGGGAATGGAGGCAGTGACAAGTTTATCCCTCTTCTTAACCACATGTGAGCAAAGTATCTATCCTTTTTTGTAATTTCCATTCTTTTTCTCATCAAAATTTTATTTTCAACCAAACATATACCAGGATATTTAACTCAATTTTTTCAGTAATATTTTGCGGTACCGAACAACTTTTTTTTAATTTTCTTACCAAACTTACTTTTCAACCTTTTTCTTTGTAATTACATTTTTTAGTAAAAAAAATTTTCTTCCGAACCAAACACTACCTTATCTCTTTAGAAATATGGACGCTGAAATATATGCTGCGTAAGGATTTAACTATTACTTCTAGGGAACTCGCTAAGAGACATTAGCTATGTTGTATTTTAATACGTCGTTTAACTAATAGGTTATTATGGTAATTAATTCATCTTTAGTTACCTAAATTGGTTGTGTCATTAAAAAGTCTTTTGTTTCAGCTTTTAGAAAAAGTAACTTTTATCATTTTCTTATTTTAAAAGTATTTTTTATAAAAGTTTAAGCTATTTATATTTTTATAAAAATATTTAGCTTTTGACTTCTGCCTTTTTTTAGAAGTTAAAATTTTTAGCTTCTGAAAAAAAGTATGTTTTTGACTTTTTTTGTGACTTCTCCTTTTTTTAAAAGTAGACATCCAAACGAACTAAAAATGAGAAGTACTTTTTTTGAAAAAAAAGCAGCTTTTGAAGAAAAAAAGCTCATACAAACATAACCTAATTCCACGTAGAAACAAGAAATTTTCATTACTACAAAAGCGTGGCTCGAACAATTTCTATGATGTGTTGAGGCTGAATTTCAGATTGGGTCCCGTTTAATAGATTTACAACTCATCATAACGTGTAGCACCAAACTTTGATAACGAGTGGTAATCGTCCGCACTTATCTACGTTACATACTCTTGGTCTATTTTTCGTGATCTTTAATATGCTTTGTTTGAAGTTTATAGATGGAAGATTATGTGACCTCTGGCTCTAATGCTTCATTTGAAGCGTGATGGAAGGAGAAAAATATTATAATATTTCTAATTCAAAACTCTCCTTTTTTTAAGGTACTTTTTTTACTCTTTTAAAAATTACATTTCCTCCCTTAATAGTTTTGAACTCGAGACTTACTAGATAAAATGAATATTTTGGATGAAGTATCAAAGCTTTAAAGTTTTAAAGTCGATAATAAAATATTCAAAATTAGTTGCCAGTTATAATAAAAGTTGTAGAGAGGAGGAAATGCCACTTAAAAATTTATTTATATAATTTACTCACTACATTTATGAGGTTCGTTTACATTAAAATGGAATCAGTATAACACATTTCCTTAAAACAGAGTGTGATTTAAGCATTTAGTGTGGGAGATGAATGTAATTTAAGTATCCAATATTGTTTTATCTAAAATGCTAAGTTGGGGGATTTGAGGAACAACTTAGGTGATAAAGATTGCCCCTTGCTTATTAAAATGATAAAATCAACCTTCTGTGTGAAAAATCATTCAGTTTAGCAATACTGTGAATGTTAGAAGAACTTCAACAAAAAGAATAGCCAAAAAAGATTTGCCCACAAGGATAAAATTAAATAAGGCTTTAGAATGGGTTGAATCGTGCGTTTTCCCAAATGCAACATTATACAAAAACACATAACAAAAATTAGTATAGTGGGATCAAACAACTTATGAAGGACGCATGAGCTTGCTAATCGCAGGAAAAATTCAGGAACATAAAAGCAATGTATCTTGCACAGGAATGAAAATCAAACATTGTAGAAATGGCATGCAGTCCAGTAAAATAATGTAAAAGAGTAAATGATTATAGAAAGCTGGTAACGTGAAACCACGTCTCATTTCCAAGCCACATTAAGATTTTTCACTAATAACTCATTGCTCTTTAGTTAGCCATAAGCCCATGACCTCTTTAGTGGTTGGACCCCAGAGCCTCTTTCTGAAGTCAAAGCTCGTTTCTGACCTAAGCCCACATAGTCCCATCAGCCGAAGCTGCCCTTTGTAAACGGTTGATGATTCACTGGCTTAAGTTTGGATTCTTTAATTTTTATTTTTTTAAAAAATAGAAACTACTTATAAGTATAAGTTAGGTCAAATAGATTTTAAGAGAAGTTCTTATAATGAATTTTTTTTTTATAATAAAAAAAGGCTTTAATATTTCTAAAGTGAATGTAGATAAGTTATCTACATTCGCTCGTAAAACGACGTCGTTTTGGGTTAAAAATTAAAAAATTATAATGAAAAAGACTATTATAACCTTGAAATAAATTATAATTACAAAAATACCTTAATTTTTGCCTCAAAACGACATCGTTTTGGGCTCAATGTAGATAAGTTATCTACATTGACTGTAGAAAAAGCGAACCCTAAAAAAAAACTAAAACTAAAATATCATAAGAAAAGCTTTTTTTTAAGTTATTATCTGTTTTTATTGAATTGTGTGTTTTTTTTAAATAAAAAGTTATAGAGACTGAGAAATATATTTTTCTTGAAATATATGCTTTTAAACTAAATTTTTTTATGTAATTATCAAATAGTTTTTAACTTTTTTAAGCTCTTTTTTTAGTTTTACATTATAAATAGCTTCTAACTTAAAAAAAAAAATCCAAACTCGTGCATTCTATCCATGGTAACTAAGGCGTTGTACTCAGTGTTTTAAGTTAGCATCGGATAGTGTTTGATTTTCATTTTATTTTATTTTTGGTAAAAGTTTGATTTTCATTTTTACATCATTATATAAGGGAGCGTTTGGTACGAAAAATATTTTTTTTTACCAAACAAAAAAGATTGTTGGTGATTTGGTAGGAATTTTTTTGTTCCGGATAAGTAACAAAAAAGTGTTTTGTTGACCAAAATTTTGTCAGTAAAGTTGGATTAATTTTACTGATGTTATGTTTGGTTGATGGTAAAATATTGATGGGAATATGAATGGAAATTACCAAAATACCCTTAATTTTTTGAATATAAAAAGTGAGTCATCATCAAATGTTGCTTTTTTTTAGGGAAAAATGAATCAAATGTTACTTTTTCAGAATCCAAGACCAAGGAAAAACAAATACCATAGGTTGAGTGGGGAAAAAAATTGCCTTTGTGTAATTCAAAAGTGGCTTACTGGAAAAAAAAATTGCTGACATTTTGTTCACAATACTCATATCAAACATGGTAAATAAATATTCTCTATCCCATTTTCCCATCATTCCATACCAAACATCCCTTAAAATTTCTCTATTTAGGAGGCATTTGGTATAGGAGAAAATTTTTTATCCGAGAAATAATTATTACTGGAATATAGTTGGAAACATATTTTACTGGAATGTTATCAAAAAGTTGTTTGGTAGGTGCAAATTTTTCTTAGATTATTTGGTTAAGTTTACTGAGTCTGTATTTGATTGATAATGAAATACTACTGGGAATGTGGAGTTATTTTACAAAAATAACCCCACCTCTATTTTTTGTATTCAAACATGTTTTTGTACGATGAAATAGGCAACTGGGTCAAGGTAGCAATCTCAAGGGTAATTTGGTAATCAAATTCGTGCTTTTCTTTTCTTTTCTTTTCCTCAGGGAACCCAAATGCCAACAAATGTGTGGAACTTTTATCTTGGACATTGGATGCTATTTTACACATGCCAAACAAATCCGGGATAAAAACTTTGCAGGAAATTTTTTTTATATGTTGATACCAAACATAGCATTTTGAGAAAGTGGAGTGTTTGGTATTGGTATTTGGTACGGAATGATGGGAAAGTGGGGTGAGAAATATTTAATTATCATATTTGGTATGAGTATTGTGAACAAAATCCCAGAAAATATTTTTCCCAGATATTTCTCTTTTCAACTACACATAGGCAGATAATTATGCCACTGATTCTTTGGTATTTTTTTTGCCCAAGTTTTGGATTCTGAATATAATATGTTGAGTCAAATAATTATTCTTTTTAAAGGGTATTTTGATATTTTTGATTCACATTCTCATTAATATTTTATCATCAACCAAACATAGCATCAGTAAAACGAACCTAACTTTTCCGATAAAATTTTGGCCAATCAAACACTTTTTCGTAACTTACCCAGTATAAAAACATTCATACCAAATCCTCAACCATCTTTTTTTCTCTGTAAAAAAAATATTTCTCAAACCAAACACCCCCTAAAAGGATAATAATTTCTCCAGGAGTTATTATCATTCCAGACATCATATATGGGCCCTAGCTCATTTTTTTTTCCCTCCCACCCCTTCCACTTTTCTCTCACCTATAACTTATATAAATTGCTGAGGGACCCGGTTCTGGTGAAAATGCTTTGAGATATTTGATGATGGTTGGCTTTGTGAAATGAAGTTGCTTACGATGTGTTTTGATTAAATTTTTCACGAAATTGCATGATCAATTGAGGAACTTCATCTAATTTCACTCTCACCTTTGCTAATCCACTTGTTGCCTGTTGGATTTATAGATTTTTTGCTCAGTGCTCACAAGTATTTTTTTAA